AATCGCCCAGCCAATCACCTGACCTGAATCCAACTGAAAATCTATGGAAAGAACTAAAGATCAGAGTTCATAGAAGAGGCCCATGAAACCTTCAAGATTTGGACATTTGCAGTAAGTCCCCAATGCAAAAGTATAGAGCAGCCTGTGTTCGCAGGTCAGCTACGAACACAAAAGCAGTACGTAATAGGTTCATCCAGTGTCGAAGACTCAAAAATTTAATACCAGTTTGACGGCCGACAGGCAGATCACGAGGCAGATTTTGTAGAAAAACAAACAAGAAATGAAGGAGAAGACAAAACCGTAAGTCCCTTATATCTAAACCTTTTCAAAGCAGAATATATGAGGAGAAACTTAAAGTGAAGTATCTTGGACTGAATAAGCTGGACATAATAAAAATTGAGCAAGAACGTGGTGTAGTTAGACTGTGTTGGTGTTACCTTTATATTTGAGCAGCTTATAATATAAACAATGGTGAACACAACTTAATACAATATAAATATATTTTTATGTTGTTTCTGTTTAGTTTTTTGTAAATTACTATTGTTTGAATTAGGGCTGCAACAATTAATCGATTAATCGACGACTAATCGATTATTAAAATAATCTATGACTAATTTAATAATCGATTAATTGTTTTGTTTTATTACTATTTTTGTTCTTTACTTTGTTTTTCTCTCCAAACTGCTTTGACACCTTCCACTGCCACATCTGCCTTTCTGTCCTTGACACACATGTACTGTAGTGGTAACTGGGGTAGGCCGTGGACGTCACAAGACATTATACAGACAGGCTCTGGTATCATGGCTACCCAGTAATGGAGCTCAAAAGTGTGGGATCTTTTTAAGAAAATGAAAGAGAAACCTGTGCAATATCTGCAGAGCAGAACTTGCCTTCCACAGCAATTATTTTTAGTTAGCATATAGCTAAAATCTAACGATGGTTATATAATAGCAGCTGCATTCTGGCACGATAAGCTCTATGTTTTAAATTCAATTAACGTATGATCCGATTAGTCGACTAATCGAAAAAATAATCGGTGATTAATCTATTAAAAAAATAATCATTTGTGGCTGCTCTACTCCCAAAATGAATTTGTTTCAAGAGTTTCAATAAAGTGTCTGTGACATGCATATCCTTCAAATATAAGAAGTGAAAGAAAACATCTTTATATTTACAAAACTTTGTATAATACATGTGATTTTACCCAATTGGTATACGTCCTTTTGAATTTGGCTCAGCTAAAGTGAAACAGAAAGTGACATCAAAGGAAACTCTTTAAGAAAATGAACTGCACCAATCAACATGAAATTTGGTAGTAATGTAGATGTGTCTGACCTACACTGTGTGAGCAAACAGTTTTTACAATAGACCCATATGTGAAGAGGGGGCTCCATCTGAAATGGGGGTGTCTGGACATACAAATATGCTTATAACTCAAACACTATTGAACACAAGAGCTTCAGATTTTTTGTTGTTTAGCTCTGGTCACGTCTGAGTTCTGGTGCATTGGTGATTTGCTACACTGTATATCAGCTATGTGGTATCTAGTTAGTTTTTGTAGCAATGCTCGTTAACGTGCAGATGTTCCCCTTTGACATCACTTCCTTTTACAACACATGCAAATATTTCAACAATTGTTCATCTCAGCTGTGTGATTTTTTTCAATATGTTATCAATATGATCTTTCCAAAAATGCATTTAGAATTATTACAAAAACTAATGTCACATCCCCTTTAAAAGTAGTTCACACACACACACACACACACACACACACACACACACACACACACACACACACACAC